TCAATATATAAATAATTTTAAGAAAATAAACTAAATTTGGACATTTTAAAACCCATTTTTTCACTCTGGTTTGGTCAATAAACAATATAATCATTCTTAATAAAAATAAGAATAATAATAATGTAATTGTTATCCAAATGAAAGCGCTATATCGGGGTATAACCTCGATATAGCGCTCTTGTATGGATTAAACGCATTAACGAGGTCTATATACAATTTTCAGTTTGAAAGTCTACGTGGTTTGCAAGTCTTATGTTTAATAATTCAAAGATACCTCGATATAGCGCGCTTCTAAAGCTATCGTATACTTGCGAATGTGTAAATATTAAACAGAGCATCCATCTCTCTGTATCTGAATTTTTAAACTCGTGCCTTTCATACTCAAAATTGTCTGTAAACCTCGTTACTGCGTATAATTCTTCTTCGAAACACTTCGGTTTAGCGCCAGACTCGATTTACTCACACGAGAGTTCCAAGTTAACCAATAAGCGTTTACGTAATGAAAGTAAAGTGAATTGGAACTGGCTAAAGATGCGTTAAATCGAAGTCCTATTGTACTTTTATTATTATTATTAATTCTTTTTAGTTTACTAGCGATGGAGGAGAGACTACCGCCATATTTCTGCATTTATTTTCGAGTAAATATTATTTAATTTCTAAAAAAAAAAGAAAAAAAATTCCTGGAATCTACAGAGGGAATTTGCTGTGTTAAGATACACTACGTGTACCTTCATCATAAATATGCCGGTAGTGAAGTATTATTAGTGTTAGTCCAATAAAATTCTTGTTTCTTTATACAGTAAATACAGGAAACACTACCCGCATCACAATGTTTTTTTTTATATCTTGTTGGCTTTGTGTACATGCCGCTATATCGCAACTTAGATGAATAGTTTCTTGAATCCTCCGGAGAATTGCCCGTGTGAAGAGAGAGATCAGAAACACACAAGGAGATAACTTGGTAAACTTCCAGTGTTAAACTGTTGTTTCTTCTAAGTTAACTTCGACTTATTGTTGTTACTTCTCTTTCTTTCTTTTTTATAAACAACTCATAAGAACTTTAAAGATAACTCTAAAACAATAGCTAACAATTCGTATAGAAATAGGCCTGTATATGTCTATATTTTTGTTTCTATGTATAAAGGATTTTTTACTCGAACCTCGATTTAACGCCAATCTGCGTTAAATCGAGGTTCGAGTGCGATTTTTCTCTTTGTTAACAACAGTGGGGAATGACATGGCTTTCTACTTGTGCTGACTTATTGTCTGAGATACTTCGGTTTAGCGACACAATCAATCGAATGTGGCGCTAAACTGAAGTATCTCAGACAATTAAGTCGTATAAAATAACAATGAAGAAGAGACCTATGTATTTTTTTCGTATATGTAAAGGATTTCTAGTCGAACCTCGATTTAACGCTAACGAACAGAACTTCTTCGTTAGTAGCGAGGTTGTGGCCGACGTTTTCATCGCGAAAACGTGTACGCCGGACGTTCAGCGCCGCCTTCCTGTAATCCTAAAAGTTTGATAATGGCGTTTGGAACGTTAGTGGAATCATACTCGAACGCCATTGTCAAACTTCTAGGCTTACCGGAAGGCGGCGCTGAACGTCCGACGTACACGTTTTCGCGATTAAAACGTCGGCCGCAACCTCTCTAGTATTAAGTGGAAAAATACATCGGACACGATTCGGCTTTGTAAACGACATTGTGACTACCTAATCACGTGACTTTCTACCCGTGTTGACTTCGTTACGCATATGCCTACTTCTTATCGTCTGAGATACTTCGGTTTAGCGCCACATTCGATTTAATTAATAGCAATTTCAGTGCTGTGTTGCTAAATCGGACTTTGACTATGTGTATTTATTTACATAGAAGAGTAATACCTCTATACGTAGATGTATGTGGGCCCTCGATATAGTGAACTGCGAAAGATGAATAGCCAACGAAGATGTTCGCTATATCGGGTGCTATACGATTTATTTGAGATTCGTCTTACGGAAGAGTGTATTGTTACGCTGTTAAATGAGTTGTTCTTTCATATTAAATTTAATTATAACAAAACAATAGTTTAAGCCCGAAATTCAATTTTAATTAAGCAATAAATACGATGATAACTTAATTGCGTTAAACAATATTAAATAACATTAACAAAGGATATTCACAGAAACTGGCACTCCTGCATCCATTATCACCTCTGCACTCTTCACCCACTTTAATTTTGCATTCGTGTGTGCAACATGGTCCTTGACTCGGGCTAAGAATTTAATACACATGTAATGATCATTACACTAAAACAATTAACATTTAAATATTGCACCAATTTTACAAATGACGGTAAAGCGGGGGGGAGGGGTATACGAGTTATTAATTGGATTAGAATACCTGCAAACTACGTTGGGTCTAAGATGGCATGGCGGTTTATCACGTGGGGGATTACTACGCATAGGAAAACAACACGGCTCTTTACAATCTTCCTCCCAACCGCAGTCACATTCTTCTCCTCTCTCTACCACTTCGTTCCCGCATATAGCGTCTTGAGGTTCTGAAAAAGTTGGTAGAAGAGACAATGAACAACACACGTAAACACGTAAAACTGCGCGTGTACGTGTAAAGCATTGTTGGCCCACAAATGTCGTGGGTTCGGGCCTTGCCACGCAGAGTTTGGTGGTTTTTTTTACGTTCGTAACGCCTCAGCTTCTCTTAGAAAGTGTTTCCCTTCGCATATACAAAACAAGTAAAGTATTGTTTCTTCATACCTGTGAAGCAACCTTTCAGGCTCCTGGCTTTGGTGTTAAGTACTGCGTTAATGTTTCTCAAGCTGCAAGGTGAGAATCTGTTGTTGTTTCTCTTATCTCCCGACGTTGCTCTTGCAAACATAATATAATTCCCATTATCACCTCCCGGTGTGCATATATTATCGTCTTCTGGATCATGCTGCGTATATAAAAGTCGCTTACATGATTTTTACTTAGCGATTTAATTGTTATCTCTTAACATTTAATGTATAAATTTCATTACTTTCCCTCTATTTAACGTCTTTAAAGTCGATTAAAATTTAATAAATACTTACAGGTGAACCGAAGTTATGGCCGATTTCGTGTGCCAAAGTGACGTGAGACACAATAGGTGGTACGTATTTTCCATAATTTAATAGAGTAACAATTCCAGTGTTAAGACTCTTCAAGCTCCCTCTGTAATGCTGAAAATGAATTAAAATTTAATTTATTATTTAAAACAATAATAATAATACAAGTCGACCTCCCTATTGATAATTCCATTTTATATGAATTCCATGTTGTAAGAGTCACTTAAATTTTACAAATATGTGAGCCATTCACAGCCCGGCATACGTACTTGTAAAATCTAAGCGACTCGTACAACATGGAATTCATATAAAACGGAATTATCAACAGTGTTATAGGGGGGGTCGACTTGTACAATTCTTTTCATTTTAAAAATGAAGTTTGGAATGATGAGTAAAGTACTAATGTCCTAATTAATAATGAAACACAACGTTAGAAATAATTAAGATATTCTACAATTTAATTGATGTCTATTAGTTAGTTGCATTAATTATATATATTTGATAATCAAATTAATTAAATATGGCAAAATAGTATATAGAATCATCAATATTACAAATTCCAAAATTCATTTGTGATGAGAGGAGGGAGGAGAATTAGTTTTGAAACTTATTTAATGAAAGAGTTTATTAACATTTAAAATAGCATTATATATAAATATATTGATTTTTATTTATGATTATATCTTATCCTTAATTGTATAATTAGCTATGATGAATCATTTAATTAACCTTATTTCATGCTCTTGACTAATACAAAATCTATGATTTGAACTTTTAAACATGAAAATTTATCAATTTTTTTTAGTAATTTTTCACTTAAAAAAGTTTTAAAATGGAATTTATTGATTTCTCCACAAGATTTATGTATTTAATTTTATACAGTGAATTGTTTCTTTGATAGAAAAGTTAACTTAAAATCAATTATTGTAATTAAATGCCTATGTATAAAGGCTTAATTAAGCATTACTATGTTACACACAGGCTTGTTTTAATTAGTATTTTTGCTAATATGTACTTGTACTATGCTTTAAGTTAATATATAATAAATATAACAGCTTTAATCAACAGATAACTATGTTAATTAAAAACCTACACATGAAAAGTTTATGCATATTTATTAATATTAAACCTGACTTTAGGTTTTCTTATAAGCTGCTGTATACACAATAGATGTAAACATATTCTTCTTTATAGGTATACTCTATAAATAGCAACTTTAATAGCAGATAATTATATTTATCTGCTAATTAAAAGCCTAAACATGAAAGATTTCTGCTTATTTATGTATTCTATAGGCTATTTTAATGTTAAATCTGACTTTTTACTACTTATAACCTTCTATATATACAATATAGCAGCTTTTAATTAGCAGAAAGTATATATATATATGAGTTTCTGTGCTAATTAAAAACTTAAATATAATATAACTATGCTAATTAAATAGTCGAAATATTAATTAAACTTAAATAATTAAATATATTTAAAAAAAAATAATAATTCAGGGATATATTTAAGTAAATTGAATTGATTTAATCATATTTAATTATATTTAATTTCATTTTATGTCTGAATGATTTTTAATGATATTTAAAACTTGTTGTTGACATTTTAAATTGCTTTTATTTAATATGAATTTTAAATATATTTTATTTATTTGTTTATAATTAATGTTTATTAAAATATATTTGTATATAAATACTGTACCTCCGAATTATACTTTTCCTCCCTTGAAATTCATAAAAAATTAATTAAATTTAAAGGAAAATAGAGAAAAATTCTTCATATAAAATGATTATTTAAACATTTTATTATTATTTTTTCTTCAAAATATGCAGAAATTTTATGTCCATAATTATAATTTCAATCTTTATCTAGGAGCAGAAGGTGGTCTTTCCAGCATTACACGAAGTGTAATGCAGGAAAGACCCCTTCTGCTCTCTCTTACGCTGCCATGTTTACAGTAAACTAAATTAATTCATTCAAAAATGGGCCATGTCGATGCCCCTAAAAACAGTCATCATGCAAGAGCACACTGCGACAATGCCCTATACACGCGAACACTTGTGATTTATACTGTATGGGAAAATGCACGAGCACTTTAAAGCTGCACTATGACATACACACGTTCTGTCTGTCATTCGTTTATGTCGAGAACGTAGAAAATCGAGTACAGATATGGAAAGCTTAGGGAAGAGGCTCCGATTAACTTCCCATTCGGACCGGAAGTCATGTGACTTTTTATTTTTTAAACTAAAAGGGAGAGCCACAATGTTGACAAGTATACAGGAGAACGGTACAAACTTGATGATTCGAGAATAATACTGTGCTTCCTGTATATCCCTGTCTCTCGATTTTACGCAATAAATCAATGTAACGTCAGGACGGTGGGCCATTTCACCAAAAAAATCGATAGAAATTGCTCCACGACTGTCCCAAAACACACAATACGATCCTTCAAGAAGGAGGTCGAACGAGTGAATATTTTTTTTAATATTTTTTTTTTATTCTTTTTGCCTTTCCATTAACTCGACCGTTTTTTCCCCTCTCCTGTTTTAAAATATTTCAATCTTTCGAAACTTTCAATTTATGTTTTTTCCCTCTCGTCTCCCTCTTAATTTTGTGGAATATTTTACTTGGAAAGTCATTTAAATGTGACAATGTCGCAACATAACACAGGGAAAGGGTAGGAACGGTCAAAAAATGACCCTACCCCGATGACTTATATATATATTTTTTGGACTCAGAGGACCTTCAAACGTCCAGAAATTCAAAAAAAAACTTTAGGGTTTTTTCTGTGCATTGTCTGCGGGGTGCACGAATTTGTTCACTCACTTTGAAGCTGAATAACTCCTGTGCTTTTTGTCGAAAATGTCTGAAATTTTGCAGGGTGGTTTGTGTATTAGGTGGGTTGATTCTGTTAAATTTTGGTGGTTAAAGGTCAACGGGGTGGGGAGAAAGAGGGAGTCACGTGTCATTACTCGAGTGAAGTCGGACTTAATGAAGATTTTACTCGTTACTTGCATTTTTCAATTTTTTTAAAAATAATAATACACCTAAAAATGTGAGGCCCTAAGCTACAGACTCGTAACGCGAGGCCCTAAGCTACAGACTCATAACGCGAGGCCCTAAGCTGNTATTTTAAGGCAATAGGAATGTTTTCACATTCTCCTTCTTGTTTTTCATTACAATATATATATATGTGTATATGTTTATATATATATATATATTTATTTATTTATATATATAAATAAATGAACAAACAAAAATATTGCAGTGTTGCAATTAGCGTTTTTATTTTCTTATTTGTTTTTTTTTCTCTTCCCCTTTAAAAATGTTCGTAAAAAGTATATTTTGTCGTAAATTAAAAAATAATGTCGTAAATATACACATCGCTTATACAGCATCATCTATCTCCAGCTCACTGTAGTGTTATATACAACGTGTGGTGTCAGAAGTGGCAGATGTCATCTCCCAATGAGGACATTTGGAGCATGCCACTTTATATTAATTGAATCCCAGGTGTTTATTTAATTGATCACGATCAAACCCAACCAGCTCCTGACATAGACAGGGGTTGATCGTGTTTCCTAAACGATACGCTTGTCTTGACGAAATTACTGGTCGTTCTCTGTTTGCAAGCGGTGTGTGCTAGAGCAGCTGCAATACTGTGATTTGATGCAACCGTTTGTGCATGAGCCTTTGCCACAGCGTGGTTTGTATTCGAACGAAATACTGTCTTGTTCTTCTCTGATATGTGATCGGGATCTGATAACATTTTACCTTCTTCTGTTCTTTTACCGAATGCCTTTACAATAATAATCTATTAATAAAAATATACATTATTTTCTATTTTATTGAGATTATATAGTACACGAAACTTAAAACACATTAAATTTCGTAAATTGTGCCGACGGTTTGCAACACTTCGCCATCAGCCTTTGTCTATGCCCTCTATCCTTGGGTTTCTCTAAGATGCAGTGATGCCAACTTAGGGGTTTTCTCCAAAATTTAGTAGGGAATTAGCAGGATAGGTGAAAATTTAGTCTGTTTGTATTGTTTTAGCAACCAGTAGAAGCTTCCAAAAGTCAAGACTGTTCTCGCGGCGAGATTCGTAGCAAGTCCCTTTGTCACATGATGTTTTTGCTCAAGTGTGCATTATGTACTGTACCTGCATATGCAAATACATAATGCACACTTGCAATGCAGTAATATGCATTGCACCTGGAGCAAAGCTACTTAGGTCTACTCTGTTGGTTTTAAGGAGAATTTCAGGTCTGTGTAGGGGATTTTTACGAGAGAAGTTGGCAACTCTGCAAACCGTGTTCATGGAGAGCAACAACGCTAGAGGGAGTCTTTGTTCTACCGTCACACTACAAGAAAGATGCCGCACGTTAATACACGCACTCCTAACTTTATAATACCTTGGGTTAAGTGTATTTCTTAATCCAAATAAATTAACACGTGCTCCAACAGACTGCGCTTCGGTAGAAAGGGCTGATCGATTAGTGTTGCCAGCCGTCATCACAAATAAAAGCTATTATTAATTTCTAAACATTGATTCAAGACCGAAACAGATTGAATCTTATATTTGCAGTTGGATTTCACAGCTTTAGTTCTCGGAAACTACAGTTTAGGGCCTTGCGTTTCTAAATCGATTATTATTTAGTGAAGGGAAGAGCCCCTTATATTTTGTAGGGCTGCAACAACTCGAGATCTGGCTTCGCCTTCATCTCTAGCCGAAAATAAATACTAGGCAAACCGAAATAACGACTTTATTATACAAAATTGAACGCGAAACTGTTTATAGAGTGTTAAATAAGTTTGAATTATCTTACCAGAACAATAATGACGCAAATAAAAAGAAGGATAACTCCCCACCAGTGATCTAAGACCCATCGTTTTAGGGATGCTATACTTTCAGTAGATAATAATAGTTTACGTAATGTTGCTAAAGGGCCTGATGGATCTACCTACAATTAAACAAATAATATATTATATTTTCTATAATTTCAAGTGTAATAAAATTAATTTAACTGTAATTACTTCACGACATTTTTGAAAAACATCACAGTATCCGTTATAATTGTCGCAGGGAGTTCCAGGTTTGGCATATAAATCAGGCACATCAAACGGTGAAGAATTCCACTCAAAGGATGATCTACGTAAAGAAAAATAATAGTAATTAATATGGATTTATTAATTACGCCATTTTTTTTAAAAAAAGAATTCAACGTTTTCTTTACTTGCAACTATGATCGTTTCCTGGTAATTTGCAACAAAGTTCACAGGCTTTCGTTAAAGGATCGTGTAAGCTTCTTTTACATTGGCATGATTCTAGTCCATACGCCATACATATAGAACCCGTACATTCCTTGAATAAGTAAGGAATATTTTAATTATTCATTCCTTAATTTCTTTTTTAAATGAAGTAGAAAAATTAGTAGACTTACTCCCATATAACAAACGAACTCGTCGTTGCAAACTGTTTTGTTAGGTTTGTTAGTAGAGGAAGGACAGTGTGGCCCTTGCCCAGTATTTTAGTTAAGGATTTAAATTTATTTTTTAAAAAATATATATAAAATTTAATATATAAACTAAATTACTTTTTATTAAAGCCTGACCCAAAAGTCAGCTAACTGTGCTGCTGTTTCGTTCGTTGCAGGCATACCAATGGTAAACTGAGTTTAGAACGATATTGGTGCATTAAAAATACATTTCATTAAGCGTTTAAAGTATTTGAATAAGAACCGGTTAACTGACTTTTGGATCACCCCTTATAAAATTTAAAAGATGATTGTTATATAGTAATTACTGGGTGGTCCGAAAGTCAGTTAACCATATTCAGTTGTATGTTCCAGTATACAATAGCGAATATGAATCACAAACTGTACTCTTCTTGGACAAAATTAATGGAAAGATTATATTTTAAAATTGCAAAGTAATTTAATCTTTAGTTAACTGACTTCTGGACCACCCTAGATAGAAATTAAATTATACAGGGCGATCGAAAAATCAATTAACCGTGCTTTGTTTCGCGTGTTATACTCGTTAATATGGTAACAATAAACCGAGTTCTTGGTTACAAAAATATATTCGCAACAGTTAACCGACTTTTGGACCACTCTGTGTACATAAAATTGCAGATAATTTAAAATATTTCATTTATTTTCTTAAAAAAATTGTAAGATATTAGAATTTTATTTAACATGAAGATCCTGAAGATCTCACGGGGTTGAAACAATATAAGAAAGAAAGAAAAATGCAGGAAAGTAGCATCAGTTTATGCCAGATTATAAATAACATCTGGTACTACCAGCTCACACAGTAAAGTCAGCATCTACTAGTGGAATCTTAGAACAAGATGGATATCAGGAAAGAAAGTTTGGCCATCTTAACAGTTTGGCACAAAGTCGCCAGAAAATAGAGTTGAACATTTTATTTTTTTCGTTAATTTTATATCTTTTCCTTTAGGAGGAAGCTAATAAAATACTGCCAAAGATTCGTGACTTTCAGGGTTTTACGTAATTTTATAGGTTAATGAATTTTTTTCGTACAAGAAAGGATGATGGCGATGGTGAATTATATTCTTTTAATTTTATTCTTCTCTAATCGTCACCGTTATTTTAATAAATAACCAGATCAAAGTTCGTTGGAGTTTCATCCTTGTAATTCCTACATCTTGGATAAGCATTTTTGTAGAGTAGTTATGGTTTTTTTATGTGTATAAGTGGTTTGGAACGAATATATCGGTATTCATCTTTTCTAGTTGGCTTCCTCGATGTGCAAGATGCCACGTTGCAAAGATCCACAACATGTACCCAAAAGGGCACTTATTGGTTGCCCTTGCACCACTTGAAATCCTTTCACAATATCTTGATAGCAAAGGTTATAAAAGGGCATCAGACGTAACAGGCTTTCTGGTTGGCTGCCAGTGTTTATTTGGAAGAAATTGGACCACCATTTCATAAAATGGTGCTCCAGTTTCTTCAGGATACTATTTCTTCTAGGTAGGCAATCATGATTGTCTAGTGCCACGTGCAACAAGCTCCATTCAGAACAAATTTATTACATGTTATGTTAATTATAGAGAAATTAATAGCGAGGTTGCGGCCGAAGTTTTCATCTCTAAAACGTGAACGTCGAACGTCGAGCGCTGCTTACAAGATAGCGGCGCTCGACGTTCGACGTTCACGTATTAGAAATGAAAACTTCGACCGCAACCTCGCTAATTAACAAACTGAATATACTTCCAGTATATTCATTAATATAAATGTAGTAATAATATAGAAAACTTACATTTTTCTATAAGGAGATCAATTTAAATGCTGCTAAGTAATAAAAATAGTATTAATACAAGGTACACATTCTTTGTATGGTATAAAACAATAAAAAAAATTTATAAAGATAACTCCTATGACAAACTGAGGTTTATATTGAAAATTATAATGAATATAAATAATATATATAATTTAATTGAAGAAAAACATGTCTTAACTGGCCGGGGACAGTCTAAAAATCATATATAGTAGTTATATACTGTATGTATAATGTTGGAAGAATGTGATTTATTCCAAACATATTCTTGATTTTATATATATATTTGTTTAGTACATAAAATAAAGGTTATCTCATGATTTCCATGTCAAAAGGATTTTTTAAAATGTTCTTTATGCCATTATTTTCCTGTAAAAATAGTAAATAGGTAGAGCTAGACTGATAGAAGGATACTAAAAAAAGTATTTTATTTATTAGGCCTAGTTTGTCCCATATTTCTCTTGTTTTAAAACCTCAAAAATAATATAAAATTTTAAACACGACCATTTTATAAATCTTCTAATGCAATATAACAAATTTATAGATCAATATATAAATAATTTTAAGAAAATAAACTAAATTTGGACATTTTAAAACCCATTTTTTCACTCTGGTTTGGTCAATAAACAATATAATCATTCTTAATAAAAATAAGAATAATAATAATGTAATTGTTATCCAAATGAAAGCGCTATATCGGGGTATAACCTCGATATAGCGCTCTTGTATGGATTAAACGCATTAACGAGGTCTATATACAATTTTCAGTTTGAAAGTCTACGTGGTTTGCAAGTCTTATGTTTAATAATTCAAAGATACCTCGATATAGCGCGCTTCTAAAGCTATCGTATACTTGCGAATGTGTAAATATTAAACAGAGCATCCATCTCTCTGTATCTGAATTTTTAAACTCGTGCCTTTCATACTCAAAATTGTCTGTAAACCTCGTTACTGCGTATAATTCTTCTTCGAAACACTTCGGTTTAGCGCCAGACTCGATTTACTCACACGAGAGTTCCAAGTTAACCAATAAGCGTTTACGTAATGAAAGTAAAGTGAATTGGAACTGGCTAAAGATGCGTTAAATCGAAGTCCTATTGTACTTTTATTATTATTATTAATTCTTTTTAGTTTACTAGCGATGGAGGAGAGACTACCGCCATATTTCTGCATTTATTTTCGAGTAAATATTATTTAATTTCTAAAAAAAAAAGAAAAAAAATTCCTGGAATCTACAGAGGGAATTTGCTGTGTTAAGATACACTACGTGTGCCTTCATCATAAATATGCCGGTAGTGAAGTATTATTAGTGTTAGTCCAATAAAATTCTTGTTTCTTTATACAGTAAATACAGGAAACACTACCCGCATCACAATGTTTTTTTTTATATCTTGTTGGCTTTGTGTACATGCCGCTATATCGCAACTTAGATGAATAGTTTCTTGAATCCTCCGGAGAATTGCCCGTGTGAAGAGAGAGATCAGAAACACACAAGGAGATAACTTGGTAAACTTCCAGTGTTAAACTGTTGTTTCTTCTAAGTTAACTTCGACTTATTGTTGTTACTTCTCTTTCTTTCTTTTTTATAAACAACTCATAAGAACTTTAAAGATAACTCTAAAACAATAGCTAACAATTCGTATAGAAATAGGCCTGTATATGTCTATATTTTTGTTTCTATGTATAAAGGATTTTTTACTCGAACCTCGATTTAACGCCAATCTGCGTTAAATCGAGGTTCGAGTGCGATTTTTCTCTTTGTTAACAACAGTGGGGAATGACATGGCTTTCTACTTGTGCTGACTTATTGTCTGAGATACTTCGGTTTAGCGACACAATCAATCGAATGTGGCGCTAAACTGAAGTATCTCAGACAATTAAGTCGTATAAAATAACAATGAAGAAGAGACCTATGTATTTTTTTCGTATATGTAAAGGATTTCTAGTCGAACCTCGATTTAACGCTAACGAACAGAACTTCTTCGTTAGTAGCGAGGTTGTGGCCGACGTTTTCATCGCGAAAACGTGTACGCCGGACGTTCAGCGCCGCCTTCCTGTAATCCTAAAAGTTTGATAATGGCGTTTGGAACGTTAGTGGAATCATACTCGAACGCCATTGTCAAACTTCTAGGCTTACCGGAAGGCGGCGCTGAACGTCCGACGTACACGTTTTCGCGATTAAAACGTCGGCCGCAACCTCTCTAGTATTAAGTGGAAAAATACATCGGACACGATTCGGCTTTGTAAACGACATTGTGACTACCTAATCACGTGACTTTCTACCCGTGTTGACTTCGTTACGCATATGCCTACTTCTTATCGTCTGAGATACTTCGGTTTAGCGCCACATTCGATTTAATTAATAGCAATTTCAGTGCTGTGTTGCTAAATCGGACTTTGACTATGTGTATTTATTTACATAGAAGAGTAATACCTCTATACGTAGATGTATGTGGGCCCTCGATATAGTGAACTGCGAAAGATGAATAGCCAACGAAGATGTTCGCTATATCGGGTGCTATACGATTTATTTGAGATTCGTCTTACGGAAGAGTGTATTGTTACGCTGTTAAATGAGTTGTTCTTTCATATTAAATTTAATTATAACAAAACAATAGTTTAAGCCCGAAATTCAATTTTAATTAAGCAATAAATACGATGATAACTTAATTGCGTTAAACAATATTAAATAACATTAACAAAGGATATTCACAGAAACTGGCACTCCTGCATCCATTATCACCTCTGCACTCTTCACCCACTTTAATTTTGCATTCGTGTGTGCAACATGGTCCTTGACTCGGGCTAAGAATTTAATACACATGTAATGATCATTACACTAAAACAATTAACATTTAAATATTGCACCAATTTTACAAATGACGGTAAAGCGGGGGGGAGGGGTATACGAGTTATTAATTGGATTAGAATACCTGCAAACTACGTTGGGTCTAAGATGGCATGGCGGTTTATCACGTGGGGGATTACTACGCATAGGAAAACAACACGGCTCTTTACAATCTTCCTCCCAACCGCAGTCACATTCTTCTCCTCTCTCTACCACTTCGTTCCCGCATATAGCGTCTTGAGGTTCTGAAAAAGTTGGTAGAAGAGACAATGAACAACACACGTAAACACGTAAAACTGCGCGTGTACGTGTAAAGCATTGTTGGCCCACAAATGTCGTGGGTTCGGGCCTTGCCACGCAGAGTTTGGTGGTTTTTTTTACGTTCGTAACGCCTCAGCTTCTCTTAGAAAGTGTTTCCCTTCGCATATACAAAACAAGTAAAGTATTGTTTCTTCATACCTGTGAAGCAACCTTTCAGGCTCCTGGCTTTGGTGTTAAGTACTGCGTTAATGTTTCTCAAGCTGCAAGGTGAGAATCTGTTGTTGTTTCTCTTATCTCCCGACGTTGCTCTTGCAAACATAATATAATTCCCATTATCACCTCCCGGTGTGCATATATTATCGTCTTCTGGATCATGCTGCGTATATAAAAGTCGCTTACATGATTTTTACTTAGCGATTTAATTGTTATCTCTTAACATTTAATGTATAAATTTCATTACTTTCCCTCTATTTAACGTCTTTAAAGTCGATTAAAATTTAATAAATACTTACAGGTGAACCGAAGTTATGGCCGATTTCGTGTGCCAAAGTGACGTGAGACACAATAGGTGGTACGTATTTTCCATAATTTAATAGAGTAACAATTCCAGTGTTAAGACTCTTCAAGCTCCCTCTGTAATGCTGAAAATGAATTAAAATTTAATTTATTATTTAAAACAATAATAATAATACAAGTCGACCTCCCTATTGATAATTCCATTTTATATGAATTCCATGTTGTAAGAGTCACTTAAATTTTACAAATATGTGAGCCATTCACAGCCCGGCATACGTACTTGTAAAATCTAAGCGACTCGTACAACATGGAATTCATATAAAACGGAATTATCAACAGTGTTATAGGGGGGGTCGACTTGTACAATTCTTTTCATTTTAAAAATGAAGTTTGGAATGATGAGTAAAGTACTAATGTCCTAATTAATAATGAAACACAACGTTAGAAATAATTAAGATATTCTACAATTTAATTGATGTCTATTAGTTAGTTGCATTAATTATATATATTTGATAATCAAATTAATTAAATATGGCAAAATAGTATATAGAATCATCAATATTACAAATTCCAAAATTCATTTGTGATGAGAGGAGGGAGGAGAATTAGTTTTGAAACGTATTTAATGAAAGAGTTTATTAACATTTAAAATAGCATTATATATAAATATATTGATTTTTATTTATGATTATATCTTATCCTTAATTGTATAATTAGCTATGATGAATCATTTAATTAACCTTATTTCATGCTCTTGACTAATACAAAAGGTATGATTTGAACTTTTAAACATGAAAATTTATCAATTTTTTTTAGTAATTTTTCACTTAAAAAAGTTTTAAAATGGAATTTATTGATTTCTCCACAAGATTTATGTATTTAATTTTATACAGTGAATTGTTTCTTTGATAGAAAAGTTAACTTAAAATCAATTATTGTAATTAAATGCCTATGTATAAAGGCTTAATTAAGCATTACTATGTTACACACAGGCTTGTTTTAATTAGTATTTTTGCTAATATGTACTTGTACTATGCTTTAAGTTAATATATAATAAATATAACAGCTTTAATCAACAGATAACTATGTTAATTAAAAACCTACACATGAAAAGTTTATGCATATTTATTAATATTAAACCTGACTTTAGGTTTTCTTATAAGCTGCTGTATACACAATAGATGTAAACATATTCTTCTTTATAGGTATACTCTATAAATAGCAACTTTAATAGCAGATAATTATATTTATCTGCTAATTAAAAGCCTAAACATGAAAGATTTCTGCTTATTTATGTATTCTATAGGCTATTTTAATGTTAAATCTGACTTTTTACTACTTATAACCTTCTATATATACAATATAGCAGCTTTTAATTAGCAGAAAGTATATATATATATGAGTTTCTGTGCTAATTAAAAACTTAAATATAATATAACTATGCTAATTAAATAGTCGAAATATTAATTAAACTTAAATAATTAAATATATTTAAAAAAAAATAATAATTCAGGGATATATTTAAGTAAATTGAATTGATTTAATCATATTTAATTATATTTAATTTCATTTTATGTCTGAATGATTTTTAATGATATTTAAAACTTGTTGTTGACATTTTAAATTGCTTTTATTTAATATGAATTTTAAATATATTTTATTTATTTGTTTATAATTAATGTTTATTAAAATATATTTGTATATAAATACTGTACCTCCGAATTATACTTTTCCTCCCTTGAAATTCATAAAAAATTAATTAAATTTAAAGGAAAATAGAGAAAAATTCTTCATATAAAATGATTATTTAAACATTTTATTATTATTTTTTCTTCAAAATATGCAGAAATTTTATGTCCATAATTATAATTTCAATCTTTATCTAGGAGCAGAAGGTGGTCTTTCCAGCATTACACGAAGTGTAATGCAGGAAAGACCCCTTCTGCTCTCTCTTACGCTGCCATGTTTACAGTAAACTAAATTAATTCATTCAAAAATGGGCCATGTCGATGCCCCTAAAAACAGTCATCATGCAAGAGCACACTGCGACAATGCCCTATACACGCGAACACTTGTGATTTATACTGTATGGGAAAATGCACGAGCACTTTAAAGCTGCACTATGACATACACACGTTCTGTCTGTCATTCGTTTATGTCGAGAACGTAGAAAATCGAGTACAGATATGGAAAGCTTAGGGAAGAGGCTCCGATTAACTTCCCATTCGGACCGGAAGTCATGTGACTTTTTATTTTTTAAACTAAAAGGGAGAGCCACAATGTTGACAAGTATACAGGAGAACGGTACAAACTTGATGATTCGAGAATAATACTGTGCTTCCTGTATATCCCTGTCTCTCGATTTTACGCAATAAATCAATGTAACGTCAGGACGGTGGGCCATTTCACCAAAAAAATCGATAGAAATTGCTCCACGACTGTCCCAAAACACACAATACGATCCTTCAAGAAGGAGGTCGAACGAGTGAATATTTTTTTTAATATTTTTTTTTTATTCTTTTTGCCTTTCCATTAACTCGACCGTTTTTTCCCCTCTCCTGTTTTAAAATATTTCAATCTTTCGAAACTTTCAATTTATGTTTTTTCCCTCTCGTCTCCCTCTTAATTTTGTGGAATATTTTACTTGGAAAGTCATTTAAATGTGACAATGTCGCAACATAACACAGGGAAAGGGTAGGAACGGTCAAAAAATGACCCTACCCCGATGACTTATATATATATTTTTTGGACTCAGAGGACCTTCAAACGTCCAGAAATTCAAAAAAAAACTTTAGGGTTTTTTCTGTGCATTGTCTGCGGGGTGCACGAATTTGTTCACTCACTTTGAAGCTGAATAACTCCTGTGCTTTTTGTCGAAAATGTCTGAAATTTTGCAGGGTGGTTTGTGTATTAGGTGGGTTGATTCTGTTAAATTTTGGTGGTTAAAGGTCAACGGGGTGGGGAGAAAGAGGGAGTCACGTGTCATTACTCGAGTGAAGTCGGACTTAATGAAGATTTTACTCGTTACTTGCATTTTTCAATTTTTTTAAAAATAATAATACACCTAAAAATGTGAGGCCCTAAGCTACAGACTCGTAACGCGAGGCCCTAAGCTACAGACTCATAACGCGAGGCCCTAAGCTGCAGCTTGTTTGGCCTGGCTAATGGTATTTAGAGAGTTAGATTTTATAGAATGTTTACACCCCATAAGGGACAGCAGGGCCTCCTAAGGAGACCTCAAAAATATTTATTACAAATTACTCATTTCTTTGCATTTCCTGTGTATTAAGAGGGGGGAAAATACAGCTTGATTTATTGGTCAAATTTTATTATTTAAAAAGTTTTATAATGCTACTTCTTCAGTATTTTAAGGGCCTTAAAATAGTAAGTAGCAAGGGCCTTTTTAGATATTTGAAAGGCCCCACGTTTAGCACTGCATTCAACCCGTAATTCGCATGCGCTTAAGGTTACGTGAAAGTCTATTCATTAAGGTTAAGGTTGAACAATCAGAATTCTTTCGCCTAATCGATATCATTGATTTAAGCATCGATATTTTTCAAGTTAGGTTTATTTAAATAAAAACTTAAATAAGTTTATATAATATGTAATAAAAGTAAATTTATAATTTGATTTTTCTCATTTATAACGCATTAACCGTCAAGTATGTAATCAAACTGTAGTTCGCGAGCGCTTTATAATACACGAAAGAGCAGCAAAGTGAAGATTGGAGAATGGAAATTTTATAAACTTTCTTCTACTTTAAATCACTATTCTATCCGTCTCCATCATTAAATTTGTTTATTTTTTATCAACATTACTTTATTTTCAAGCAAATAAAGAAAAATTATTCTTGCATATTGCATGAATTTGACACCAGAGCTGGAGCGGGTATAGACAAATTATGCTGTATTAATTCAAATAATCTTGAAAATTTGCATCTTTTTTTATCATATATTACTAGAAAATCATCCGTTAAGACGATTTTAATAACATTTATCTTTCATTTTGATGCTATTAGTGATTTCCTGCGTTGATCTCCCACACTGGATGAATGATTACTTTGTCATCTTTCTTCTAATTTTTTATCCTCCAAACAAAAAATGGGAGGAAAAAAGGTTAACTCGAGTATAACTTAATCACATTTTAATAAAACTTTTGCTTAAATAAAAGAATAAAAATTAATTATCATCATCTAATGCAGGGATTCTTAATCTTTGCCCTCACTTCACCCCCTGAAAGTGTACTTAGCGTTTACAGCTCTTCTTCATCCCCAAATTACAATTTTATAATTTTATATTATACTTCACACCTCTTATACGTTTGAACCCTTCAAACCTCTTACACGTCTGAACCCTTCACACCTTATCTAACATTTGAACCCTTCACACCTCTTACACATCTGATAGGAATCCTTCACACCTCTTCATGAAGGGCGATATGAAGTACTCCCGTTTCCTTCACAGAGGAGTGCTTTATCTGAGCTAAACTACAGCTTAAGGCCTCGCCTTTTATATATAGGCCTACCTAAAAAGGAAGGGCCTCATCATGTAGTGTGTACCTCTACAGAGGAGGTGCAAATTACAGATTAAGAACAATAAAGTATAAAGTAAAGAAAATTTCGGCATATTTATATGAAGGAAGGGGAGGGAAAAGATAATTTTCATATTAAAGAACCATTAATATCGACGCCAAAGTGATAACGGTTCAACCATTTAAGATTTCCAATATCAAGTAAATCTATGATCATCAGTCATAGTTTTTCACCAATCATAAATCATTTGATTGTCGAAAAGAATATTGATCAACGAACATAACTTATTTTCCCTCCTTCCCCTACAGTTTGTGTTGACGTGATGAATTTATCCACCGAAAAAACTATGAATTATTGTTATTTTTTTTATATCCTTTTATTAATATATTACCCAATAAATGGGCTGTTTATGTTTTTCTTTTTATGAATTATCCACAGCTTGAAAAAAAAATCTAGGTCATGCTTCTCTAATTACTCTTTCTTTTCTTCCCCCATGAAACAGGAGAGTCATAAATCTTGAACAGTTGAAACTCTACGTAAGTTATTGTGTTTTTATGTGGAAAAAAATAAAGATTATGTGCATAAATGTATGTAGGAAATTGTTTTTCTTGCCTAAATATAGTGTATATTCACTTATCTTGGGTAGGAAGGAGCATAAACTTCCACTCAGTTAATCTTCTAAAAGGGGGATGACACTAACACGTGACTTATTTTTTAAATTAATTCTATGTAATATATCGTGTTTAATATAAAAATTATGTACATAAATATATAAGGTTGATTTTTGTATGCTTAAGTATAATGTCGAGCCACTTCACTTCGAGGAATTACAGAAGAATTTCAAAGTATTTTTGTTTTTTTATGAGGCCAACTAATAAATGAGTTACCCTTAATTAATTTACAAGAAAATTAACACATTTGTAAGATTACCCAACGAATTTACTCAAGGAATTTAAGCAAAATAGCAAAAATTTGCATTGCTTATCTTTGATATTTCCGCATGACCAAACTCTTAACATGGTTTTTACATACTTAGCAACCCACAAAAATCTTCTTCATTAGTTTTGTTATTCAGTATTTATACATTTTTTTTTCCTTCAGCAAGACTTGATTTTAACATCAGGAACTTGCATGTTTAATTGTATTGATTTTTTGCAAGCGTACAAAATTAAGAAGTCCCTCAAGAGGGAGATTTTTAATCCCGCACGCTTGAAGGAGAGATAGAATGTAATCTGCATGACATCAAGTAAAGAAAGAAAAGAAGAAGAAGAAAAAAAAAAAAGATGGCAGCAAAGAAAATGAATTAATTACTCCATTTTTTTCGCAAACTCCTCCAGCATTCTTTAAGTCACCAGTCCATGCAAGACCAAGGGTTCCTCCTTCGAAATCTCGATAAGTGAACATGTAAGCAAGGCAAAAGGCATCGTAATCTTCTTCAGAAAACAATTCCAGGAATTTTTCTACACCATAATTACCAGGGAACCTGTAATCAGGATCCTTAAGAGCTTCCATCGTATGGACCTTAATTCTCTTAATGAGGAAGGATATGTTGTCGGATCTTCCATCCTGATCAAAATCTGTTAGAGAAAAATAAGAAAGAAAAATTAAATAAATCTAGTAATTAATCCATTACGGCTTATTGTAAAACTTTTCGGTTATGCGCGCCGTCTCCAACAGATGGCGTTAGATATTTAATGCTTTTTCTATGGGAAAATGATTTTTCAATTTTTTCTCTCGAACGGAAGCAGATAGAAACGTGCAATTTTTTGCATTAGAATTCTATTTAATTATTCTATTAATCTACGGTTCAGAATTTTGAAACCACAATTTGTTAATTTTCTACGAATTTTTTACAACTTTAAAAATTCGTAGAAAATTAACGAATTGTGGTTTCAAAATTCTGAACCGTAGGTTAATAGAAGAATTTATTACGATTCTAATAGAAAAAACTGTTCGTTTCTATCTACTCCCGTTCTCGAGAATTTTCGAGAAAAGGATCTTCCCATAGAAAAAGCATTAAATTTTTAACTCCATCTGTCGGAGAATTCTTGCATAATGAAAGAGGTTATAGCCTTATAAACGTGAAAATCTAGAAATACTTTCTATTAAAGAAGAGGTAAGAGAAAAATCATTAAAAATTCTTTAATGAACTTACAAGACATTTTCTTCCGTTTAAAAATTTTATTAAATACAAAATTATTACTCGAAATACAAATTAATTAAGTCGATTTTGACTTGTTCTTTTTTTTTTTTAAATTAAAATTTTAAATTACTCATTTCTTTAATTAATGAAAAGTTGGCGCGGATACGCAAACACGATGACAGTTAAAACTAATGGAAGGAAAATTTGCAGTTTATAAGTGATTTTAATAGCATTAATAGCTGTTTAATTAATGTTGCAACACAACATAATTATTTCTTAATATCGTGTGACGTTGCCTACTTTATGTATTTATTATTAAATTTGTTAAACTGGAAACTTGTGGTATCCCATTGATAATACCAATCTTAAGCTGGTTACACACCTACACACCCTACCTGTTCGGGTATACCCGAACAGTTAGAGTGTTCTGGTATACCTGAACGTGTGTGGATGACAATTGTCAGTGTTTTTTTCATACACACATTCGGGTATACCTGGCTTTAAAGGGTGAACTGAGTTGAAAAAAGAAAAAAAAAAAGACGTGAAACCTCTATAAAATCTCTTCTTTTTCTAGAAAACTGATCTCTCCTCATATCGGATTTAGCTAAAACTTTCGTTTACTGTACTTAAAATCGACCAAGGAGTTGCAGGAGACGTCACAAAGGTTAAAGTGTAGTAACCTGTGTGGAATCTTCAATGGAGCATATGGCAAAAATATTGGATTGATTTTTAAAAAGGAGGAGACGAAACGAGATCTTCTTCTTTGAAGTTTCTTTTCTTTTTTTTTTTTTTCTCCACCCCTTTATTCCTTGTTAGACGCGGTACTAAAGTTTTAGGTGTTTTCGTTCCTGTAAAAATGGGGTGGAGAGACTATCAATTTGTAATTAATATCAAGCTTTTCTTTTGTTGGTTTTCTTCTATAAACTCACTAAAATACTCTTAAAAATCAATTAATGCAATCTGTATCCTCTTCTTGTAGTGTTTAAGAGAAGAATTATAAAGAGAAACTGGTTTACAATAGAATTTTTTCATAAAAATTGCGTCGTTTTAGTATGAAACTGCAGGGGTTAGCTTGGCGTTAATAGATAATTATCTCATGCAAGAGTACCTAAACAAGAATAAACACTACATAAACTTCAAAAGTATATGAATTACACGTTACTATGGGAAGAAATTTAAAAAAAGGTAAAGGTTGGACTCCACCAGGGCCTCCAAGAGGGTCCGAACATACGTTCTTCAATATCAGAGACGTGGGTTCGGATCCTAGTCGAAAGTAAACAAAAGATTATTTTCTGTATTTATATTTTAATTTTTTTAAATAGACAATTATAAATATATTTCATTATCTTATTAAGCTGTAAAAATACACATAAAATAACAAAAATTAATTTTGTTTTCATTCTTTTTTGCATCCTTAAATAGGAATATAACTCTAATTTCGACGCAGGAACGATTACTAATAATCACGACAATTATAAGGTTCATAATTAGGCAAATCGTGTAATTTATATTCTCCACATTGTCCTAACGTTAGCGGGAAAATGATTTTTCACAAGATAAATCTACTTAGTCACGGTTCAACAAGAATCGCTTTTAAAACTCACCTCCTTCCACCCAAAGGCTCCTCTTGAGGGCAAAACAACCCCCAAGAGGAGCCTTATACGAGTTAAATCAAAGTTGATTCACTGAAATTGCTTCTTAAACAGATTTGCTCTTACTTAATCTTCATCTTTCTTATGAGTATAAATGCAAAACCTCTAACTGTTCTTAGAAATGTGGCGTTTAACAAACAGTATAGCTCTTGCTTACACTAGAACTAGAGGGAGATCATCTCATGCGCGTGGACTAATTACTTTAGTGTTATGACTCCTCCTCTGTCACTCCAATAGCAACTGTATACGGAATAAGAGTAATGACCTTTAGTTTTATACTGTATGGAGTCGTTATTTCTTACCTTTCTTTCCTCCTTTCTTCTCCAGTCAACCCGTTATTCCTTATTCATTCTCCCCTCGACAGCCTCCATTATCCTCCTCCTCGCATAATTGCCTCTCCTCATGGCTGCACCATTACAACCTCTTTTCCCGAATCTTCTTTGACATCCCTACCATTTTAGCATTTTCTCTTTTCATTCCCATATTCTCTTTCAAATCTGCCTGCACACAATCCTTCCATTTCTCCTTAGATGCTGTCTCTATTCCTTCTCCTCTCAACAGCCTCTATTATCCTCTTCCTTGCATTGTTGTCCTTACTCATGTTTGCACTCTTTTCCCAAATTTTCTTTAATATTTCTACCATTTTTACCATATTCTCTTATTCTTTAATTTCTAATCTTATCCAATCATTCTTCCTATTTTCCTAAGACTGTGGGCATGCTTTATCCCCCATAAGTCTATCTTTTCATTCACACTATAGTCTACCTTTCTTCTATGTTATTCACAATGAATGATGTAATTCTGGGGAGTTAAACGCTCCTGTTGGCCCTCCCCCCCACGTGCACTCGCTTCCAAACCTTTCATTTAGAGATTAGCAAGGAACGTTTCTCCAAGAGAAAATCATCAACTCATAAATAAAAAGTACGAAGTAAAAACGAATGGAAACGATATTGTTAGTGAGGGTAGTAAAGTTAGTAGAAACATGTTCTGAAGGTTGGTATGAATGCCTGCTATACTTTATTACCTTCCTTATCATCTTACCGTAGACATGTAAGAAATGACTCAGATAGATAACGAGACGTTCCATCCATTACACTGACAACTTTGCTACCAACTTTTCACAGTAAAACGTTTTAATAAGTGCTTCATCTCTCGATATGACAAAATAGATTAAAAAACATATCTTGTTACATACATTGCTTTATTATGTCTCGACTTTAACGATTAGAATTTTTGAAAGTTTTTCAAAGTTTACACTCTTTTTTTCTTCAATATGTGAAGTTGGAAATGTGTTTTCTGCACCTTTTTTTTTTTTCTACTGATTTTCTCGGAAGTTTGTACGTTTAAAGCTGAAAAACTGATCTTTCGTGTGAGAAAATTAAGGAAAAAATGGTAGCAAATATTTAAAGTGTATCATTAATTATAAGATAAATACATTTATAAGTCATATCTATATAAAAAAACCACATAAAAACGGTAAAGATCGTACGAAAGAACGAGCAATTAAGAATGAAGATATCACACTCCCGTTTAAGTATGACGAATCTTATCAAAAATGTGGAGATGACGCCATTAAACAAAGGAGAAAAAAAGAAGGAAGTAAAGATGTATATAAATATTCAAACAAGCTTGGAAAATTGAAGACAAACACAAATAAAAGTTAATGGCGATATGAAGAAAGATTAAGAAAGTAGAAAATTGAATACTGACTATTAGCAGCTTAATGTGATCATCAGTAATACGTTATACGATATTATAAGGTCGAAGCACTCCAGATGCTTACTGAGAATAGATTTTTAAAAAATAGGGAAGAGAGAAGGAGGAAGAAAAGAGAAAGAGAAGAGGGAGGGAGGGAAGAAAGAGAGAGAGAGAGGGACGAGGGAGGAAGGGGAAGAGAGAAGAGGGAAAGAGAAGGAGAGAGAGTGCAAAACAAAGGAGATAATAAGCAGTATCAATCCCTGAAGAATACAAGATCCTATCGAAGAGTAACTGGCAATGATACAAACACGTGTTTAGAATACAAGTGCCTTAATTTCGAACGAAGTCGTAAACTGCATTTTACAATAAGAAAAATATAAATTTAAATAAAATACGAGCAATCAATTTATTGTAACATCGTCACAATGCCTGGCTGCAATTTTTAATTTTAAACTAAACTGCCCCTATACATCGTAAATCATACTTAAAATTACGTTCAAACCGGACCTCTTGCCCCTATGCTTTCCATATCTGGTCTCGATTTTCATCTATCTGATTCTCTCTCTCTCTCTCTCTCCCTATCCCCTTGACCTTTAACCACCAAAATTTAACAGTATCAATGTCCCGTATATAGAAATAAGCCTACCAAGTTTCAATATTTTTGCTTCATCCAGTCTCGAGATATGCAAAATAGATACCCCCACACACACAAAGGATTTTTTAAGGGTTTTTCTTTACCTTTTTGGGCTCCTGGAGTGTCAAAACGGGAGGGGGAGTCAAAATTTTACCTATTATTATACTTTTCCTGTGTTATATTCTGTAACATCTAAGAAAATAACAATTGCAAATCATCAGTTGCCCTCCCCCATGTTGTAGTCTTTAAAAGACTTTGTATATACAAGTTATTTTTAGCGTTTTTTAAAAGTGTAATGTTAAATTTTCAGTGTAGAAAAATCAATTTTAATTGTTCAAGTAGTGTACGAGGATTTGCCTATGAACTAACACATAGATTACCTTCATTATGATGGACATTAACGTGATGGATGAGGGGGTTCTGAATTCGAAATACGTCATTTTTAACAAC